TAAGTATAAAGAGATTTTTTTTTTTTTTTAAAGAAAAGAAATCAATTCTATTTCAGTAACGTTTTTAAAAGTATCTAGGTAACACTAAGAAGTCCCAAAAGGTGCTTTTGAGTGCAAAGTAAAGTTTGGTGAAAACATTTAATGTTGTAAACTTAAGGCTTTCATCCTATTCTCTCCACTCAGGTGAGAAAGGAACTGAACAGGAAAGACACACCTGTAGTCTTTAAAGCAAGAAGCCTGAAATTAGTAACCTGATATCTGAGAAAAGTGTAGTAGATGGTAGTATAACAAATAGTTTTTAAGAACTTCTTATTTTGATTACTGTGTTGCATACTGTAGACTATCCAACGATGGAAACGCCATTAGCAATATTACCATGAAATACACTATTTGTATGCTGATAACTGGATGCATTTCTGCTTGAAGTCTAATTTCAGTCTTCCTCTTTGCACTTGCTGGATTTTTTGTGTGGAAAAAGCCTGTCCTTGAAATTTGATGCAGAAAAAAAAAAAATGTTTAATCTTCATATGGGACTTGTGATATAAAAAAGATCTATAATGGATCCTTGAATAATTTATAATAGCTGAGAGGTGCTCATACTTTTTATTGACCATAAGACAGTTTCTAACAAACTTGAGGGAAAGTGCTCTTTCAGCATCTAAGTAAAGCCATCTCTAGATATTCAACTATAGGGGAAGATGGAGAATCCAGCTGATTGCAGGGCCTTTTTCCATAAAACTCCAGCAGTAATTTTTCTCCTAGTGATACATTTCCATGCGGTAAATACTGAGCTGGAAGCTGTGTTTCAACAGTAGTAAGAATTTGTGGGAAGGAGGGCAAGATCAGACTGAATGTGTATCTTTTCTGTTTCTCTTTTAAAAGTAATACATCTCTTTTAAAAGTAATACATGTTGGGAGTGACAATGCCCTTCAGATTTCACAAAAAAACCCCAAAGTGAAAGTAAGCTGCCCAGACCAGCTCTTTCTGAAGCCTCTCTACTGTAATAAGTCATTATTTCTTCATTTGTTGCAGGAGAGAATTTCGACCAGAGTCCCTTAAGAAGAACCTTCAAGTCCAAAGTTTTGGCCCATTATCCTCAGAACATCGAGTGGAACCCCTTCGACCAGGATGCCGTCAACATGGTAGGTAGAGAAACTCTCTTCTCAAGCTGTTTTCTGACAACTTCAACTCTCAAGTGGTTCCTGGGTTATTTACAGCCAGCCCTTGTGATGTGATGTGATGTGATGAACAAGGTGCTTCTGCTGGGACTAAGCGCATTCACTAGGCATGCTGGTTGAAATGCTGTAGAGGAAGAGGTGTTGTGAAAATACAGAATACTTTCAGGCACAACAACAGTAAAATGCTGCATTTCCCTTGTTAGTTCTAGTTAATTCTACTGCATAATGAGACAAGTCTAACCTCCACCTCAGTGACTGGCTGAGAAGGGGTGTAGTCACCCAGGATATATATCCACAGGTGGGAAGGAGGCAAACTGAGGAATTTTTAAGATACTAATATCCATGTGAAATTTTTGAGTACAAAAAACCTTAATGCTGCATACAGCAAGGGAGAGAGGAATCTTTACGGAGAAGCTGGAACTTACCTAAACCACAGCTTTTGTTGGGTGGTCACTTTTAATGACACCTCTGTCCCGATGCATCTTCTGTACATCTCTTTCCTCTCAGCTAAACTTGGTGTGAGTTTGTGTGTGTGGTTAAGTCCCATGAACAGGGGAGAGAGAAGAAAACAGCTGGGGACAGTGACAACTAAAAGACCGATGATCCACTGGAAATTTTCCCAAAGACTTGATATTCAAAGGAAGTTTCCAAAATCACCAAAACCACTCGTTAAGAACATGTCCTGACAAAGACAACAGATTACTGGTATTTGAGCTTCCCAGTACAGAAAATGCTATTTGTTTTATAACTTAAAAGTAAACAATTGTTGTAATAATAACATTAAAGCAATATTACCGATTCCAGTTATTTTCAAAACTGTGTATTGGGTCTAACTCAAAATTGGAAAATTAGGGAACTCCTTCCCCCCAATCTAGTTTAGATGTACTTCACATTTGAGGAGGGTAGGACTACATACTAGCTACTGAAAACCAGCACTATCCTCAGTGTATGGTGCAGGTATGAAGTCAAGAGAATCTCCTGGCCCTCACTCTGGTGGAGAAACAGGGAACACATAAAAACCACAATAAAATGGCTTTTGTAAATGCAGTCTGAATTATGTTTAGTTCACATTTGAAACTTCTCTGCAATCGTGAAGGTGTAGAAATCTTCAAAGTTCATCTCAATTTCCACTGAATTTTATTTTTTAGCATTGTGCCAAATATGTAACATGAAAACCCAGGAGCTGGAAGTAGCAGTGATGCTGAGAGCTGATACTCTGGCACTGCACATGCATAGAAAGGCAGAGATGAGCCTGTTACCACTATCAGTCACTTTGCTCACTGACAGCTGGGGATTTCTGTCCTCTGCTTCCAAATGTGCATTGATGGAGATGGTGCGGTATTTGGGCAGGTCTCCGCATCACTTTGCGTATACAGAAGGCATGAAGGACTCAGAACAATGCTTGATCAGCACAGTTAAGATGGTAATAACTCAACTACCAAGGCTACTCACGCCTTTTAGTTCTGCCTTTGAATTGGGGGTGTTCAGAGGAGAAGTGATGGGGGTGTGCACCAGGAATATGGCAGCAAGAGGTAATAGCTGGAATTGCTGCATTATTTGTCTCTCTCGTTATAGCTGAAAATATCTAGTATTCATGAAGTGTGATCATATTATCAGACAAAAATGGAATACCAAAACCAGCAAGAAACCTATTAAAATGAAATAATTGAACTGAGCTGCATTCAGTTGAAATCAAATAGCTGAAGAACACATCTTTCATTTGCAATGTGTCTTGGAGAAAAAAAAAAGCATTTACTAACAGCAGCAGTATTTAATGGTCTTTTAAATCATCTTTTGGAAAACTTCTTTATTGTTTTGATCTGAAACATCATTTAAAGTAATATCCACCTCCACAGAATCCCTTGAGGCAATTATTGGCCTTTCTGATCTTGCCTTGCTGTATTAGTTCTGCCTATGTGTTTGCTTTATGTGAGCTTCCAGAAGCAATTTTCCTCAAGAGAAGAAAACGCATAAATCCTTGAAGGTTAACTTGTGAGAATTCTGGCTTTGCTGAATGCCTAAGGAATTTCAATTGCCTTCTGAAACCATCCTGTCGCTTTAAAACTAACCCCCTGAAGTCCCAAGAAATCACTCTGCCTACGAGTCATGTTTTCTCCCCCTGTCAATGTATATAGAGTTCTTTTTAATAGGGAAGTATTTCTTTTCCCCCCACTGCTTTTTGTGATGATCCCTGCCTAATGTCACATACTGTCTTCTGTGGCCATTCTGCAAGTAATGTGTTGTACCAAACCGAAGTTCTCAGTAGAGAGGAAAGTGAAATTTTTAGGAAATAAATCTTCTCTGGTTCATCAAGGTATATAAATCTTTGCCCATATTTCTGAAGTCCAAGGAAGTGTTGTCTGTTTAACGTGTCATGTACTGAAATAAAAGAACTAAAGGTTCCCCAGGGTAATTTGAAGGAGCAGGCTCTAATACAAACAAACGCATCTTTCCCTCCACCCCCTCACCCATGGTGCAATTTGGGTATGAGGCTTGCTGCCGTGAACATGTTGTGAACATGAAAAATATATAGGGGCTTAAAAAGTGAAATAGAGGATCTAATGGAGAAGAGATGAACCAGTGCTAATGGGCAGTGGTCCAGAGAGGACCTTTGGTTCAGAAATATCTACAACTGATGATGGCTGGGAGAAGGAAGGAGAGAGGGATTACAGTGTGTGTATCTGTCCTGCCTCCCTGTTTAGGAAAAGGGTATCTCCTGCTCATCACTTCTAGAGGTGCGGTATGGATTAGTTGATATCTTTTTGTCTGTCTTTGTGCAGCTTCCTTTTGTTTTTACAAATCATGTTGATTATAAGCTTTATTGCTAGTACAATTTAATTCCACATTTTTCTGCTGATAGATATGTTGAAATATAAATAGTAAAGTGCTCTGAAAACCAAAATCCTGTCCTTTGATCAGTAATCTTGGATAGTGTTCTGTGTTGATACATAGACCCAATAAAGGTGACTGACTGCCTTCTCACTGTTAGTCAGCCAGCTTCACCAGCAAGCAAAGCTTTCACCCCCCCCAGCACGTCCCAAGCTGCTCTTCCCCAACACTCTCCTGTGGCGCATGTGACAAACAGACGAGATGGGAAGTAATTGATGTCCAAAGCACTAAGATGAAAGTTTTTGTGCATGAACTGTAGATCTGAAGCTTTCTGTATTGCTGGAAAATGAGCACAGGCCCTTCCTTTTGATCTTAGCTTCTTAGGTGACTCTTGGTCATTCTTCCCTGCCTCGGTGCTTTCCCACCTTCTTTCTTTCTCTGCCTTTTCCTGTGTCTTCTTGTAGGTCTAACGACAGCGGCAGTCTGTGTGCCAGGGTTTGCAATCAGGGTCTTAAAAAGTCAGTATCCTGCATATGCCAGGCTGTGGCTGAAACTTAATAGATGGGTGTCCCTTTGTGTGTATATACTCAGTATATAAACGATGAGGGAATAATAATTAAGCCTTGGAGGAAATTTATTTAATACAGCCTTCTGAAACTGTCTCAGCTGGTCTGAATTTCCTTGATGCTTATCTGTTCTTGATTGTACCAGTACATATAATTTGCTTATCCAGGTATTCTTCTGTAAAGTGAAGAAAATACAATCTTTGATAGTGTTGAGATTAAAGCCTATGATTTCAGCCTGATCGGATTTGATAAGGCTATAGCCACCATTGAATGCCCACATTCTAGAAATAAATTTTTATTAAGCAAGCCTGCCAAAAAATGAGGCTAAGAGATATTTATTGTGCAGAATAAATTTAAATAAAGGGTGAAACAAGGATTTTTTACTACTTCTTTATTGGAAAAGCCTTAACCATGGCACTGCTGTTAATGCCTCAATAAAAACTATAAACCTTTTGAATGAAAATGAGGCTGCTGTTCAAAAATGGTTCAAGCTACAATTTCATGGTTTATGTCAGCAAAGCCCATCAATTGAATTAAATTCTTCTACCAACTCCAGGCTACTTATTTCTCTATACATTACCTTTTAGAGGAATACATAAGAACTGTCCTAGATAACTTAGGGGCTTGCTGGCATGTTGTGAAGTGGGTCTGGACCACTTGCCTAAATCCCAGCTGGGCTGACATCAGGCTGTCGAATGGTCTCTGCAAGGTGCAGTGGTGAAGTTCAGGATAGGATGTGCCTGAAAATACATAATTATTTCTCTTGACCTCTTCCATCATCAGAAGAATTTACTCCTGGTCAAGGTGAGACATTAGGGGATGCACTCAGTCGTGTGTAGGTTCACATCCCTTGGGAAAGTTGGCTTCTAGTGTTGCCTTTTGGAACAGGAGGAACACTTTGAAGGGTCTCCCTCTCTTCTTTCCTTTTATTTCTTCAGATGGAAGGTACAAAGGAAGCTTTAGTTCTTCGTTTATAAACATACTCATTTAGCTAGAACATAAGGAGTTTCATGCTGACGCACATTCAAACAAGTTTTGCTGGATGTTTGTTATTTTGTATTAGATGGCTGATAGAATTCCTGAGGAATGCCTGGAAAAATGCCTCGAGTTATCACTAGGGCTATGTTTCAGAGAAACACCCAGTGTAGTAGAATCATTGCAAAAGATTTTGCTGAGTGGTAAATAAAAAATGAGGCTTTCATAGATTTTGGGTGTTTCCGTCCCCCTACCCTTCCTTCTTCCAATGTAAGCTGTTTTGTAGCACTTACGGAAGAAAGTGAATGTAATAACTGTCAGTCGATTGTTTTGCTTTCTTTTAAGAAAATTAGGGAAGATCAAAGAATTTCAAGAAGTCTGTAATTTTAGTTCAGTGGTATAAGATGCTCCCCTGGCTCTCTGATTTTAGAGTACTGTGGGAACAATATACATGAACGAGAACAAAACTGGATGTCTTTAGATGATGCTTAAGTAAATGAGACAAAGGCTATTCAGTAGTGAAAATAATTTTACAAAGTAATGAAAATAAGTCATAATGACTTAATAGATGGGTGATTTTGGAGGGTGTTTTCCTTTCTTCAGTCATGCCTATCTCTTCTTTTAAGTAGCATCACTTTTAGGCTGTTTGTTCTTGGGCTACTTTTCAGGGGGATTATGTTTAATGATAAATGGCTTGTTATGATGCAGTGGAAAAAAAGAATGTGCCTGTAAAGCAAAAGTAACAAAATAAAATTGTAGCTTGGATAACTATGTCTAGTTCTTCTCTCTTTTCTTAGCTGTGTATGCCCAAAGGGCTGTCTTTCAGGACGCAGGCAGATAACAGAGATCCGCAGCTCCATTCGTTCATCATCACCAGAGAAGATGGCTCTCGTACGTATGGGTTTGTGCTTACGTTCTACGAGGAGGTCACAAGCAAGCAGATCTGCACAGCCATGCAAACACTCTACCAGATGCACAACGCAGAGCAATACAGCAGCGTCTGTGCCTCCTCCTCATGCAGCATGGACTCCCTGGCCAGCAGCATCGATGAGGGGGATGCCACTTCCCTCGCTAAGCTCCAGCGATACAACTCCTACGACATCAGCAGAGACACGCTGTACGTCTCCAAATGCATATGCCTCATCACCCCTCTGCCCTTCATGCAAGCCTGCAAGAAGTTCTTGATCCAGCTGTATAAGGCGGTGACCTCCCAGCAGCCGCCGCCTCTGCCCCTGGAGAGCTACATCCACAACATCCTCTACGAGGTGCCCCTGCCGCCCCCGGGGAGGTCGCTGAAGTTTTATGGAGTTTACGAGCCCATCATTTGCCAGAGACCTGGGCCCAACGAGCTGCCGCTCTCTGACTACCCACTGCGGGAGGTCTTCGAGCTGCTGGGCCTGGAGAACCTGGTCCAGGTTTTCACCTGCGTTCTTCTGGAGATGCAGATCCTTCTGTACTCACAAGGTGGGCACTCGTCCAGCGATGCACGTTGGGTCTGTTCCCAGCAGGCAGTTCCTGGGCAGCTGTAGCCACAGGAGCTAATATAAAGCTGTTGATTTTCAGCGGATTTGTGAAATGTGATGTAATGAAAAAATGTGAGAAAAATTAGTCTGTCCTAATGAAAGCACTATATAATTGTTTCCTCCAGGCAATCTAGATGCCGCTTGTTTAATTATGCATTGTATTTATCACTTGTGACAGCTAGCAATAGAATTCACTTAATTATTATCCTTACATTGCCCTTGATCATGCTGCAAGACAGCATGAAACTAATCCTATCTTCTGCAGAAATACCAGCAGAAAGTAATACATCTTGCAGAAAACACTCTTGCTACTTACTTTTTCAAATTTCAGCAGAGTATTGAAGTGAGATCTCCTCCCTCCCTTATGATGGATATGTTCTGGTTAAAACACTGAGAGTTTTTTAGCACTTAGAGGCTGAAGTTTTAATGCCGGGTTGGAACTGAGTGGAGTTACAGGGCATCCCTTCTTAGTCCTACTTGAGATATTTGGGAACTTTTCTGACAAGGATGCTGGTACTTCTTTTTGAGACACTTAAGATTGCAGTTGGCAAAGGCTAGCTACATTGGCAGAAGTTGCTTGCACAGAGCCTGTCTGCATCGAAGTATGCCAGCAAGCTTTTGAAAATCTGGCTTGTACCTTTTCTCTTCTGGTTGTGTCTTTCTGCAATAGTGCAATACTCTGCTACAAGTGTTAGGAATCTTGATTTAGCACTGGGCATGCTCTGAGGTTTTACACTCCTATTACTCTTTCCAGTATGATGTTGGTTGCTGTGAGTCTGGCCCTGGTGATACTCGGGTGCCAAAAGGTATGTGCTGCAACTGCTGCAATGCACCAGAGTGCCCAAACAAGTCAAGCTCAAGTTTCCTGTTGACTTTCAAGGGGTTGTCCAGACTTTTTGGAGGTTCCTCTAAGTCTCACTGGATGCCTGTCCATATTATCTGGGTTCCCAAATGGCTTCTGTGATGCTGACCCTGAATTAGTAAAATGTGCCTCAGGGAAAAAGGTTGGGGGGGGTGGTTTCATCAGGCTAGAGTAAACAACATGAAGCCAGGAGGTACGCATACCTTTTAACAAAAAGAAGAAAAGATGCTGAATACCTAGACTTCTCAAGAGATGTGGTTCAAGCCACAGACAGCTTGAAATGCAGAGGAAAGAGAGGCTGGGAAATCGTCTAAAATGAGCACGGGTAATGAAGCTTCAAGCTCCAAAAGTGAACGCTTGGGTTTGTCATATAAAAGAAAAGGTCAGTAAGTGTGTAATAGTAATACTAATGAATAAATGACTGAGAATGGGGAAAAATGTTCAGGGAGGTGGAAGAAGGGTAGTTCTTCTGCAAATGACTGAATTCAAAGGATTGCTAGGTCTTTGCGGAGCACTTCTCCACATAGACTCCAGGGGTTTGCTTTCAAGAACCGAAAATGAAGGGCTTTGTCTGCTCTGAGTTTGAAGTGTGAGCAGAAATCCTGCTGTTAGTTTTGATTAGGCTGCTTTTTGCCTCCCTTCTGCTTCTGTGTGTGTGTACTTACTCCTTTCTTCCTCAGTTTTTAATTTTTTTTTTACCTTTGCCACTTGACACTGGGGTTCAACATTAAGCAACAATATCACTGAAATGCCTCCCCATCCCTGCTTGTCATTCCCACTCTGGTCCCTGCCTATGGACTCACTGAAAACTGAGATCTTTTTTACTGTAAGCTAGTAGCATTAGGAAAAATCTGCTTGTCAGATTACATTTTAGTAATATTTTGTGCAGATGGAAAATAACCTGCATATCCATTACTTTTGTGATAGTCCTTGAGACAGACACAAAATATCCACTAAATAATTTTGACTCAATTTTCAGTGCCACCAGGAGTTAGATAAATGAGTGTTTTTCTTCCAATTACTGGCTATAATTTAAGGGTTTACCTGTCTTGTTTGGTTTCTTTTAAGAAAAATGAGATAGTGAGAATGAATCCTCTCCACCCTCCAAAATTCAGATTTTTTTTCCCCTTGCCTCGATTATTGGTGAATCTAGGGATGTCTTTGACATGACCTTTACTTCCCTATCTAATATAGACACAACTTGATGGCGCATGGGGAAGAGCATACAGTTGTATTAGGGAAATACTGTGATTATGTAAATAGCATCGTAATGCTGGTTCCCAGAGGTGAGGAATGTGGAATGGAGGTCAAGTGCAAAGCCTCAGTTTTGGCATACCCTGATAACTGAGTGCTTGGCTAATTGTGCACTGCGGCTTCTTTTAAATATCAGTCTTGCAGTTCCTGAAAGAGAAAACAAAGCAGCTCTTTTCCTATTTGAGATATAACCAGGCTAGATACTACTGAAATCTCCTTTCTAAGCTTTGAGATCCACCAGGGAGAAACACTTTCTCAACTGCAAGTTCTTTCAAGGCAAAAGATGAAAAGAAGTTTTTGGCTTATGTATCGCTGTTCCAAAGTAACGAATGAGAAAGTGATTTTGCAAATTTGTCTTTCCTTCCCTCTTTACTTTAAAGAGGATAGACTCACTGGACTGTGTTTCCAGTGGCCTGGCCTTGCTGCAACCTTACCAAACTTAACTAAAGATTAGCAGAAGATGGTCTTGCATCCACAGGGTGCAATTTCAAGCAAGACAGCATTATTCATCCAAAGTCAGAGTTCACTGAAATGCTACAATACTCCAGAAATCAGAGCATTGGACCAAGACCTACTTCTGTTCACCAAACTATTTCAGTGAGAGAGCTGCTAATAACACCTGTGGGAAAAGTAAGCTGACTTTTTTTGTGGTTCTCCTAGCCCTGTCGGAAGGAAGCTTTCCATTGAAGCTTGCCAAAAAAATTGTTCCTCTTTTTAAAGGATAAAGACTTCCTTTGGAAAGTTGAGTGATGTCGTGGTTTAACCCCAGCCAGCAACTAAGCACCACACAGCCACTCACTCACTCACTCCCCCCACAATGGGATGGGGGAGAGAATCGG